TCCTGGGATCGAGCCCCACATCGGGCTCCCTGCTCCGCGGGAAGCCTGCTTCTCCCTCTCCCACGCCCCCTGCTTGTGTTCCCTCTCTCGCTGTGCCTCTCTCTGTCAAATAAATAAATAAAATCTTTTAAAAAAAATTGTCTTAAAACTAAATTGTAGGTATGACCTTCATACAAACTAAACTCCTTGAAAGCAAGCTCCACTCTAATTCATCTTTGTATCCTCCAAAATGTCCAGCTATATGCTTTCTAAAAATAGGAACTACAACATTTGCTAAGCAAATAACTCAAATACAGAAAAAAAAGTAGGATGCAAAGCAGTATTTCTTTTCAAGTGGAAATACCTCCTTTGGGATATATTTTTCAAATATCCCTTTTTGCACCAAAATCCTCTCATTTCCCCAAGGCAATTACTGCTTTCAATTATAGTATTCATCAACTGCTTCATGGAAATTAAGAGATGACAGTGTTTATCCTTGGAATAGAGCCTACAGCCAGACAGCCATTTTAAGGAAGTTGAAATACAAACTATACATTGCATGAAGATCAATAAAACATGATTCTACTGTAGCGTCGAGGCTAGTTTCTCCCTTTACTAACTTTACTCACTAACAGTGAGAAAAGAAAAGGTTCAAGAGGAAAACACTCGAACTGTCCACATTACTTTGCAGGAATCAGAAGGAAAAACAATAAAACGTTTGAAAAGTACATTTACACAGGCATGCATTAAACAACAGGAGTTCAGGCAACACCAAAAGGAAAGACATTTCTGTACTTTCTTCTTCAACTGCACACATGCAGCTGTGACCACCTAGAGGGTCGTCTGGATCCAGATGAGTAATCAGCAGCACTGTCACAATTCCCGTGTGAATTACCGAGAGGCTAGAGCCCTGGACTAGAAGAGAGCTTATGCCTCTTCTATATATGCCCGATAGTGGTCAGCCAACTTCTATTTGAAGATTTGGATATAAGCAAAACAATGTCTACTTTTGGTAATTACAGCATATAATTCTAACTAACAGTGCTTATATAACAGTTTTGCAATTTGTGAAACTGAAATGCCTCTTCAGAAGGCAATCGTTTTCAGAGGAGAACGGTAAAGTTGGCCTCTGAAACATAACGGTTCCATAGTCATGTTTTGTTCGACCTGGATGTACGTGCCACCACGACTCACTGCTACATAAAACCGAAGCTGCCAACTACCATGATCACAGCATCTGCACAGGGGAGAAATCTCCAAGAGCTGGAATAGTTTAGAAAGGCTTCAAGGGAAGAACCGGTCTCATGTCTCACCTGGGCTCTAAAGTCTGGGTCAGAGTTGAAAGAATAAGAGAGGACTTGGAAAATGTATGGGGGAGAAGAAAACTCAGAGATAGTTCTGAGGTTGTTAGAAAAGAAATTAGAATGTTTACAGCACCAGATGCACATGGGAAATTGGTTTAAGAGGAAGCTTTTGCAAAGGTACCTGGGGGAGATTCTGGAGGATCCTGTATGCCAGATTAAAAAAGGTAGACTTTGATCCGTAGACAGTACAGAGTCCCTGAAGGTTTCTGAGAAGGGTTTAAAATATCACTCATTTGATAAATAATTATATATTATCTTATTACATCTTCTGATCTGTTATGCTAATATTTCTTTTCCTACTAAGCAATTAATATTTTACTTTTTTTGCCTTTCATGAATAAAGAAATAGCTTAAGATAAAAAAAACTAAACCATAAACAGGTACAGCTAAGGCAGAGTCTCCATTTACACAGTACCATCTGATCCTCCAACTCACTGTTGCCCAACAAATCCAGGGAAGATCACAGCTTCCATACCCATCTCCATCCCATTCACAGGTAACTGCAGTCAGGATGATTGGAACCTAGGCAACTGTTCCAGGCCCTTGCCCAAGACTGAGAAGTTAGCACTGTGAGAGGGCAGGCCTCCTGGAAGAAAAGGAAGGACTGCTGCCCATTGGATGAAAATTCAGACCCATCCTTGTTCTGTGGGTTTGCAACCCTTGCTTACTCCACAAATGTTCATTAGTGCCAACAAGCCCTCCAAGGTTGGATTGGTTAACTTTTCTATGGGAGCTCCTAGAGATTGGGTACTGGTCTTCATCACATCATAAATATTTACTAAGCACCTACTATAAGCGAACCACTGTGCTAGACACAATGCATCAGAACCTAGACCCCAAACGGAGGGGTCAATCTTTCTTTTCCCTACCCCACGAATCCTATATATGATCCATCAGTAAGTCCTGGCTGCTCTTCTCCCTACTGCCCAAAGGACCTGGAATCTAACCACTTTTCACTCCCCTCCACCATCACATCTTATCTGGGCTACTCTAATAGCCTATGAAATCTGAACCCTGCCTACCTCTCCACCCTCATTTCCTACAGCCTTCTTGCTGTTCCTGGAACATGCCAAGTTGATTCCCTTTTCAGGGTCTTCGCACTTGCTCAAGTTCTCTTTGCCTGGAATAATCACACCCCAGATCTTTGCAGGTTTTTTCTCCTCCTTCAAGTCTCAGCTGATGTATCATCTCCTTAGAGAGACCTTCCTTGAACATTCCAAATGAAATAATACTCCACCCCATTATTCTCTAAACCCTTACCTGGCTTTATTTCTTCATAGCACTTTCACAGTAACTTTTGAAATTCTATTATGTATTTATACATTAAAGAAACTATTACAGTCTTTCTCACACATACTGTAACCCCAGTACCAAAAACAATGCTTAGCACATAACAGATCAATAAGTTCTTGCTAAAATGAATAAGAAACCCAGTTTTTACCCACAATCAAAGGGTTAAGACAATTATAAACAGATAAGCTATAACACTCTAAGTGCCATTAACAGAGGTTTGTCGTATTCTGAGAGTGGAGAATAGGGTATAGGCCAATGTGAGGAAGTTGCAAATAAGAAAGGAAAGGAAACTCAGGGCAGTTGAAAGTCCTAGTATAATCTAAGACCCAGGAAAAAGTCACCCAGAATGCCAGATTCCTGGGGTGAAGCAGCAGGAGATTAAGACTAGACTGAAAGATTAGTTTCTCATTTGATCCCAAGAAGCCTGGACTTCATCCTGTAGGCTACAGCTGACAAAGGCATAAACTCCAAGGCAGGGCAGGGGTGCAAGAGGTTTGACATTTCAGCGGTACAACCAGACAAGAGACAGTAAAGGAGGACAAATCTAAGACGAATCGTGAGGTGGATCACACAAAAGGAAGAATGACGTATAGGAATATGCAGGAGGAAATGGAAAGAAAGGAGACAACAAGAAGTTTGACTTAGGTTTCATAGGTTTGACATTTCTATTAGATGTCCAAATGAGGATGTCCAGTGAGCACTTAGAAATGGGGTATCAAGCACAAGAGAGAAGCCGAAACTGGAAAAATAAATGAAGAGAGGAGGAGTATATTGGTCATTAGCACATAAATGCTATCTCATTTTTCTCTGAATTCCCGTTGTTTCGATGTTCAATAAACGCGCTGAATATATGCTTTACCTTCTCAACTGGATTAAAAATTGTTCAAGGAGATATTTTACATTTTTTGGAAACTCTCACAATACCTAGCATAAAATTTGGCACACAGAAGGCATTTAATAAATATTTTGTTAATGGACTGGTTTCTATTTTTAAAAAGCTGTTTTAACAAAAAAAATTCCAAAAAGAATTACCTTTGACTGTTAAAATCTGATTTTTGTTTCTCTGAAAGATACTTGATACACTGCTGGTGGGAATGTAAAGTGGTACAAGCCCTGGTGGAAAACAGTCTGGTAGTTCCTCAAACAGAGAGAATCACTATATGACCCAACAATTCCACTCTTAGCTATATAACCCCCCCAAAATAAAAATTAAAAACAGGGACTGAAATACTTGTATACCACTGTTCATAATAGCATTATTCACAACAGCCCAAAGGTGGAAACAACCTATGTATCCACCCACAGATGAATGGATAAACACCGTGGTACAAGCCATACAATGGAATATTGTTTAGCCACTAAAAACGAATGTAGTTCTGATATTCTTTATCTACATCATGGATGAACTCTGAACCCGTGATGCTAAGTGAAAGAAGCCAGGCACAAAAGGACAAACACTGCATGATTCCACTTACAAGAGATATCTACAACAGGCAAATTTTTAGAGACAGAAAATAGATTAGAGATTACCAGGGACTGCAGGGAATGATTTCTTGCTTAATGGTTACAGTCTCTGTTTTAAGTTTTAAAAATAACGACTATAGATAGTTACAAAACATTGTGGAATTGTACTTAATGTACTGAACTGTAAATTTAAAATGGTTAAAATGGCCAATTTTATGGTTTTTTAAAAAGATTTTATTTCTTTATTTGACAGAGAAAGAGCAGGCAAGCACAAACGGCGGCGGGGGGGGGG